TCCTTTGCACCCACTCTCACGCCTGCCTCTCGGTTACAGGGCAAACAGGCTTCACATGACCAGCATCGCACCGGACGCCTTCCTGGGCCTCCTGCACCTGAGTGTGGTGGATACGGCGGGCAACCCCGAGCAGGTCCTGGTCCGGCTGCCACCCACAACTCCACGTCAGCCACGGGCAGGGAGCCCCCGAGCCCGGAGGGGTCCAGCAGTGTAGCCCAGACCCCTGGGGCTCCACTGGGTCATGGACCGAGGAGACGGTGCCCACCCGGGGCCTCAGCCAGGCTCTCCCAGGCCTCAAGGGCCCGGCCAGGAAGCTGGGGACAGGGGCGCTGCGTCCACACACAGGGAGCCCCGGGAGAGACTCAAGTATGCAGCTCGCACGCCAGGCACGCAGACCACACCAGCCCCGCCGGACGCGGTCCCCACTCCCCGCACAAGTGGAGGCGGCAACAATAAAGCCTAATAACCCTGTCAAGTGCTCACCACCTGCCAGATGCCCTTCACCTTGCAGGAGGGGCTCTCACCATCCCAGCATCCAACTGAGGAAACTGACGCTGTGGGATGCTAAGAGGGTCAGGCAATCTGGTCCAAGTCCCGGGGCCAGTGAGCAGCCGGGCTGGATTTCGAGGGGTCAGCAAGAACCACCACGTGACAGCTGACCGTACGTACACACTTGAACACACCCAAGGCCACCAGCTACAGAAACACACGGCACGGCAGACGCCCTCAAGCAGGCCACAGCCCTCACACACGTCCCCGGAGCAAGTGTGCGAATCGAACACATCCTTCACGGGCACTCTCCCCCCACGGCCTGCCCCTCTTATGGGCACCTTGCCATCAACCCCCGGGGGACTGTGGGAGAGACCCAGCTGGCCACAGGGCGGGGGCAAGAAACATCAACAGAACAGAGTGAGCCAGGCGTGGCCCTGGCTGTTTATTCCCTGTGTCAGCCCTGGGGAGCCAGCTGGGCTCTGGCTGACCTCAGTGGCTTCTTTGGGGTGTGGGTGGGCTTCAGGGTTAAGGCTGGGGAGGGATAGGAAGTAAAGTGCTTGCAGGGGCCCTCGGGGCTTGGTCCTAGCTGCCCCCCCACCTCTGGGGCAGGCCAGGGGCCGGACACCCCAGGCTGTGCAAACGGGACTCTCCAGGGCCCACCCAGCCAGGCCGGGGCGAGGGGCACAGGCTGGCTGGTGGTGCCATCCTCAGGGCCCCCCGCCAGGAAGAACCCGGCGGAGGACATGTCCATCTGGAGCTGACGGTCTGCTGATTGTCTGCTTGTCTGGCCTCCGGCTGTGGCCTGGTCAGCTCCTCCCGGTGCCAGGGCCTTGGGCACTCTCCAGGGGCCGCCCATCCGGCCGACCCCTCACCTGCGGAGCCGCTGCAGCTAAGGAGAAGGCCGCCAGGGTCAGGGACGGGGTACTCGTGGCCACAGCTGTGCCCCACACCCCCCCGGCCCGGCCGCTCACCTCACTCTCCACCAGGTTCCGCCTGTAGAGTGCCTCCTTTGCAGCCTCCTGGGGGCCGAGAGGCGGTCAGCGGGCAGCCGCGGGCAGCCCCGGCCCCCCAGCGCCCACCCGGCCCTCGCCTGGCTCACCCTGCTGCCGTCGTTGCCCAGACGCCGGGCCGCCTCTGTGTAGAACTGCAGCTGACGCTCCAGCTGGGCCGCGTACTCTGAGGGTGGGGAGGGGTCAGGATGGGGGCTGCTGCCCTGCCCTCCCCTCCCCCACGCGCCCATCCCCGAGACCCTACCCCTCCGGATGCCCGGGCCCCCCTGCTCCAGCTGCGCCCTCTGCCACTGGCTGCGTTGCATGATGTCCTGGTACTGCTGGGCCACCTCCGGGGGCACCGGCCGCCGCGCCTGCCTCAGGGCCAGGATCTGGGGGGGTGCAGAGTGGGGGACTGTGACGGCCCTGTCCGGGGCCTACCGAACCCCCAATCCTGCCCCAGCCAGCCTGTCAAAGCGGGCACCCACCTTCCGCTCCAGACGCTCTTGATCAAAGGCCAGCACGCTGAGGCTGTGCAGGGGCCGGGCCGATCTGTGGAGTTGGGGAGGGATGAAGGGCCGCAAGGACCCCCCCAACCCTGACCTCATTAATTCTCACAGACGCACTGGGCGCTGGGGAACAGCGGGAGATAAGCTAGGCCCACCCTGGTGTTGCAGAGCCCACGACCTAGTGGGGCTGAAGGCTATACACTCAGGCAACTGCCGTGCCCGGTGGTCAGGGAAGGTTTCCTAAGGAAGAACGCAGCCAAGCTGGGAGCCAGAGGAGTTAGAGCTGGGCAGGGGAGTGGGGAGCAAGTGCTGGGTAGGGGGGCTCATGGCATCATCAGAAGACAGAAAAGCCCAGAGGCCAGTGAAAACGAGGTGTAGATAACCATGAACGAACAGGAGGAAGTGGGGTGGGGCGAGACTACTGGATATATTGATAATGGTCCAATCACAAAAGATCCGAAAAATCAGGCTGAGAAGTGTCAGGACGTTTCAGGAGACGGGGAGCCAGGAGACGTTTTGGAGCAGGGAAGGGATGCATTACAATTCGTGCCTGATGGGAAACTGTCCAGGAGGGGCTGAAACAGGAAGAAGGGACTTCTCTCCAGCATGGCTTGACCCAGCCACCTACCTGTTCCCTGGCTCCCTCGAAGGGGTGGGTACGGGAGGGGCCTTCCCTTTGGGCCCAGCAACCTGCTTCAGTGGACAGAACCAGTCTTGTGATTCCCGGCCCGCTTGAACCAAGCCTCCCTCCCTGGGGTTGCTGATGGGCAGGAGTCTCACCGTGGGCGCGGCTGCTGGCACGGGGTCAATGACCAGCCACCTCTCAGTTGTGGTCTCCAACTGCTGGGCGGTCAGTGGCTCCCGAATCCGGACCATCACCTCCAGCCGCCCCCCGGTGGGCCTGCGACCATCCAGGACCTGGGTGGAAATGAGGGGAGGCTACTGAGAAGCAGGCAGTGGCTGGAGGCCCAGGGCCGGGATCAGAGAGAACCAGGGTAATTTCCAAAATCTGAGCCCCTAGATAGATAGAGCTGAGATGCCAATTGGTCAAAATGGAGCAGGGTGCTGGGAATATTTAGGACTGGGTAGTATGGAGGTCTGGGATCCCTGGGGGAGAAGCTGGGTCAGCAGAAAAGACCCCTAGGAGGCCCAGGGCCTGTAGGGAGCTTTTGAATAATGTTAACAAGTGACACAGCCACACCAGAGCCTGTGGGCAAATGTCCACATCTCACCTCGAGGATCTCCCGGACCTCACACGTGGTCTCCAGGGCGTCCAGCTTCAGCTGGGCTGTGCCCAGCACCCGGTCAGTCTTGAACAGCCCCCTGTGTGCGTGAGGGGGACAGGACGGTTGGCCCAGGGCAGCTCCCCCTCCCCCAGAGTCCACCCAGCACCTGCACCCCCAGCTCACCCCTTGTGGACCACTTCAAATTTGATGCCTTTGGTCTGGATGGCCCTTCGGAAGCCGCGGTGGCTGCGGTTGATGCAGAGTTTGAACTGCTCCTTGAACTCTACTCCGGGAATGAGGACAGGCCCAGGAGGAGAGAGGGAGGGGTCAGGCTATGGTTTCAGGTTCTCTCTGCATGGGGCTGGGGTGCCTCCCGGCAGCCACGGCCTCCTCCCCCTCCTCCTCCGCTCACCGGGGGAGTCTGTGTTCTTAATCACACTGGTCTTGTCTTTCTGAGCTTCTTCCTAGAGCCAAATCAAATAGGAGGCAGGAAGGCTCAGGGGCTGGGGCCTGCCCTTGGACCCCTGCCGACCCACTCCCGAGGATGAGGCTTGAGCCCATCTTTCCTCTCCTGGGCTCTCTACATACCACGTTGGGATAGGGGAAGTCAAACCGAACAAAGACATCCAGGTCGCTGGGAGACAGCCCTGTGGGCAGACAAGGGTCAGAGCCGGGCAGGGAGGCAGTCCCGCAGCCCTGACCCCTGCCTGGCGCCCCTCACCTGGGGGCGTGGGCAAGTTGATGCCCTTCACGATGAACAGGAGCATGTCGTTGTTGCTGAGGTCAGGGAAGATCCTTCCGGGAGGGCAGGTGGGGAGACAGAGGCACGTCAGCCCCAACGCCTGCCCGCCTTCTTTTCCCTTTGTGGATCCAGGGAACACACCCCATGCTGGCCTTTGTAGCTATATGGGCTCCTGGGCTCCAGTTTTAGGATCTGGACAGACTGGAATTCTTTGTCCAGATCTGCCAATGGCTTATTTTCGAGACTTTTCTTCAGTCTGGGACCCACTCTGCGCCAGCCAGTGGCTTCACTGCTGGGGGACCTTCCCTTCATTTAACAATACTTCTGGGGGGCGCTTGGGTGGCTCAGTCGGTCAAGAGTCCGATTTCAGGTCATGATCTCAGGGTTCGTGGGTTCGAGCCCCACGTCAGGCTCGGTGCTGACAGCTCAGAGCCTGGAGCCTGCTTCAGATTCTGTGTCTCCCTCGCTCTCTGCCCCTCCCCCGCTCGCACTCTGTCCCTCTCTCTCTCTCTCTCTCTCTCTCTCTCTCTTTCAAAAATAAATAAACATCTTAACAAATTTAAAAGAGCAATATTTCTGCAGCCCCTACTATGTGCCTGCTGGTGTCCTCACTTACGGGGATATAGTGAGACAGACCCCATCCCTGTGCTCATGGAGCCCAAGCTAGCTGAGTGAAGAGAAGACCAATGCATATATAAACAGAGGAAACAAAGCAATTCTGCAGAAAATTAAAATAGGGGAAGAGAGTGGAGCATGCTCAGGATGGGCTGTTGTAGACGGGAGTGGTCAAAGAGGGCCTCTCAAGGGAGGCGACATCATAGGTGATTCTGGATGCCAAGAAGGCGCTACTACACGGAGACCTGGGGAAGAGGGTCTGTGCAGAGGAAAGAGCCAGTACAAAGGCCCTGAGGATGAACATGCTTGGTTTGTCTGAGGGACCAAAAACAGGCCTGTGTGGCAGGAGGCAAGCAACGTGGGGACAGTGGGTGGGGACGAGGTGATGGGGAGCCAGGCTGTGCAGATGTGGGAGAGCCAAGGTAAGGGGTGTGGGGTATCCTAGGTTGTTGCAGTGGCTGTGCCTAACCCCATCTGTAAGTGGGGAAATGATCCCAATTCCCCACGGTGTGGGAAGGCTTAAGAGGAGCAGGACCAACAACAACCACGCTGAGGGCTCGCCCGGGCCTTGGGACAAGGCACATCTCTGCACTCACTCAGTCTTCCCCATTTCTCAATGTGTCACTGGCAACTCCCCAACACCATCTTTCACTTGCACCTCATGCCTGCCTCAGGACCCTTGCATATACTGTGCTTTCACCGTGCAACCAAACTCTCCCCCAGAGGCAAGTCCTCTGCTGGCTTCTGGGGAGTGCAAGCCCCTCTCCAAAGGGGCATCTGGGCCAAGGGGCATCAGGGCCTTACTTGATGACGCTGAAGGTTCTCTGCTCAAAGCGGGCAGTGGGCGTGGGGAGACCTCGGGCGAATGCCTGCTTCAGAATCTCCATGCTCCGCTTACAGTCCTCTGCCAATTTCTCAAATCTGCCGGCAAGAGAGCCCTGTTCAGGTGCCTGGACCCAGGGATGGGATGGGGGTACAGACGTCTGGCAGAGGCAGGGACAGGGGTACTTACTTGCTGGTTTCGGCAATGTTGCCCAGGTGGGTGAACTGGTTAGAGTGGTTCAGGCACATCTGAAGAGCAGAAGGCAGTGAGGGGAGGGGCGGGAGGCCATGACCCTGAGGCCTGCTGACCTGGGCCAGGGGCCCACCTCACCTCATGCTGCTGCCTTATGAGCTTGGTGAGTTCACCGTAGCGCCGGGCAGACTCCTGAGACAGACCTGGGCCAGGCCGCTGGACCAGAGAGAAGTCGTCTTTGTTGACGGGGGCGGGTGGCACCTAGAGAAGACAAGCCTCATGGGGAGGGGCCTGCTGGTTAGCAACAAACAGGCCCGCGCATGGAAATGTCACCCCTTCTTGGAGAGGCCTTCCTGGACCACTGCTTTGCCCCAGCCCTGGTCTTTCTTCTTCCCCGAGGAGAAAAGTGGTGCTCAGAGAGAAGTGGATGGTCCCTCCCAAAGTGGCACACAGCCCAGGTACTACGTGTCCCAGCATCCCTTGCAGCCAGGTACAGCCATGGGATTCAGCTGCGGCCAGTGGAAGGTGAGAAGTGATGGCATTCCATGTCACTTGCTTTAAATGGAACTGCTTGCCTTGCCCTTTCTTTCTCTCACTGCTTCCCATGGACTGAATGCAGGAAGGGCATCAGTCCACTCTGAGCACGTGGACAAAGATGACCTTCCAAGGTGTGACAGAGCAACAAGATGGAAGGAACCTGGGCCCTGGAGGGCTCTGTCTTTTCCAGAGCCCAGACTGCCCTGAATATTCCATGCGAGAAAACATATCTGTCTTCTTTCAGCCACTGAGTCGGGGGGGTATTTATCTGTTACAGAAGCTTAACCTGGATCCTGACTAATATACTCCAAGTTACGTGGCTGCTAAGTGGCCACAGCCCAACAGGGGGTGCCTGGGGAGGTCCAGCAGGCCTAGAGGGTTCACCTTGGCGATATCCACAGGCAGCCCATTGCGCGAGGCCTCCAGCATGGGCTCCAGCCCCTTGGCCTGGCGCAGGTGCATTTTGGCACCCTCCACGTCATTCTTCTGCTTGGCTCTCAGTGCGGCCTGTAGGAGCTGCTTCTTGCGGCCCTCCAGGAAGGCCAGTTGCTGCTGGGCTGTGGGTACAGGGGGGTCTGTGGATGCGGCCTGGCCCACAGCCAAGCAACAGGCAGCCCAGGAAGGGAGGGCATACCTACCTCTGGCGGATGTGCCCTTGGGGGCTGTTTTGGCTGCTGGGGTGGAGCCTGATTGGGGTGCCCTTGAGGGTGGGGCCTTGGGCTGGGCCGTGGGGGCCGGAGGGCTGGTGGGCTGCTGACAGACAGGGAGGGAATCAGAGCTCTCCCAGCACTCACAGTGGCTCCACTCCCCAAGGGGCCGGGGCCCGAAACTGACAATGGTGACTGTCTTAGTTTCTGTTTCCTCAGCAACGAATGCCCCATATAGTCTCATTCTCACTGATTCTTTGCAGAGACAAAGACAGCCCCTGTACCCACTTTACAGATGAGGAGGCAGGATCAGAGAGCAAAATGGCTTGCCCACGGCTGCACAGCCAGGAAGTGGCCAGGCCGGGAGGGAGGCCAGCTCTTCCCAGGCTCTGTCAGGGCTTTGCTGCCACTCCCGTCTCACCCCAAGACCCCAGCCCCTCCCACCTTCTTAGGTTCCTCATCCTCTTCATCCTCTGCGCCTTCATCCTGGTTAGCCAGCTTCATGGCGGTCTCCAAGACCCCCACCAGGCTCTGCTGGGTGGGCTCGGTGGCCTCCAGGCCCTGGATGGGGGGAAAGCCTGGGCGGCCAGTCAGGGCCCAGTCAGGAGGGAGGGACCCATGCCGCGATGGCGGAGACGTGGGTTCCTCCCCTTCCTAAGGAGCCTCGGGGCTTTGGATGTACTTTGAATCCAGGAAGGAGCTGCTGCTGGCTCTGTGTAGATGCCAGATTATTCCAACCTAATCTCCTGCTGCCTCTCACCTGACCCCGGGCCTTGACCAGACGCCAACGGGCAAGCAGGGGGTGAGGCGGGCTACCAGGCACAAGAGGCGGTCACAGGCCTGGAGGGATTCCCAGGGGACCAAGGTGTTGAGGAATAATTGCTCTCCCGGGGGTGCGCGGGCATCTCTGAGAACCCAGAGGAGGCCCCCAACCCACTGGGAGGCTGATGGAAGGCTGAGTAGAGTGTAAGGCCGAGAGCTGATGCGAAAGGAGGAGTCGAACACAGAAGAAATGGAGGAAATCAGACAGACGATGGTGGGCTGGTGAACAGGCTCTCCAAGTAAAACCCCCTGATTTTTAGCGTCTGCCGATTTCCGTGGTACAAACACTCCGATTGGTACCCAACTGTAAGGTACCAATTATCTAACAAGTTTGCAGAATTCCCGAATGCGGAGCACACAGCTCCCTGGGCCTGTGCGGTCAGGAGGAATAGCACCTACGGAGGCTCAGAGGCCGGGAGGGGCAGGGGTGGGGGCTGTGCCTACCTGGGGGCACTGGCAGCTCGGCCACATCTACCGTTCGGCCCGCCTTGTGGGCTCGGATGGCATCTTGGTATTGCTGTAGTGGACACAGGATTAGGGCTACCTGGGCAAGGCCTCTGGGCGCTGTCTGCCTGCCCACTGGGCCCCCACGCACCTTGACGATGCGCTCATGCATGCGAGCCTTCCGCTGGTCCCCTTTGGTCTTGGCCTGGGCCGCGGCCACGTGGTATCGCTCCATCCGCTGCTCCAGTGCCTCCAGGAGAGTCCGCGGAGGTGGGGGAACCTCTGGGCCAGACGGGGGCCGAGGGGGAGCAGAGGGGCAGGGTTAAGAGTCTTGGGAAGGAGAGACTTGTCGCCCTGGCCTGCCCACCACACAGGGTTCCAAGAGCCTACCTGGCGTGGAGGGCACCGTGCTGGGAGCCGGAGGCTGCGGTGATGGCGAGGGTGGCTCTGGGGGCAGCTGGTCTGAGGGCAGAGAGGTCCAGTCCAGTGAGGGGCTTGCTTGGGGACCCCCTACCCCACGCTGGTGTGGTCTGAGGGGGTCCCCAGGTGACCAGAGATGGTGGCAGCACCAAGTCCCGGAGGCTGGGCAGGTGGTGGGGTCCTCACCAGGGGGAGGTGGCAGGCGGGACAGGTCCACAGGCTCCCCCCGGCTCAGGGCCTCCAAGATGGCATCGAAGCTCTGAGAGAAAGGAGACGAGGGGAAGAGGCTGCGGTTGGGGGCCAGGACCCTGTGGGGAGCCTCTGTCCATTCCTCTGCAGCATCTTGCTTAAGCCCCTTCCAATACTGATGCCCATTTCACAGGCAGGGTAAACCGGGGCTTTAAGAGATACGGAAAACTACACGTACAGAGTGACTAAGGGTCAGGAGTCAAACTGGGGTCCGTGTGACCACAGTGCTCCTGTTCTTTGCCACCACGCAAAGTCGGAAGCGTCGTGTCTTCTCCCACCGGTCTGGACGCACCTTGGCCACACGGAAACGTCTGGCAGCAGTCGCAGTATCTCCCTGCTGCTTGGCGTGGAGGGCGGCCAACTTATATTCGCGCTGGCGGCTCTGCAACTGGGCCAGGAGGTCAGGGCTGCAGGGACCTGGAAAGGGGAACAGCGTACGAACCGCCTCTGTTTAATCATCACAACGAAGCCTGTTCCTTAGGCCTGACCTACAGATGTGAGCACCGAGGCTGAGAGGCCATGCCGTCTCCCCAAGATGGTGTGGCGGGGACTCTACCCCGGGACCTGAGAAAGAGAATCCGCAGCAGGCTCCAGGCTCCGAGCTGTCACCACAGAGCCTGACGTGGGGCTTGAACCCTCGAACCGTGAGGTCATAACCTGCACCAAAGTCGGACGCTTAACCGACTGAGGAACCCAGTCGGCCCTCATCTTAACTTTAAAAAGTGGCCACAGTTGTCATTCCCAGTGTCGTGCAAATACTGACATTCACAAAACAGAACTATCACATCACTCTTTAAAACTTAATGTACTTTAAGGGCGCCTGGGTGGTTCAGTCAGTTAAGTGTCCGACTTTAGCTCAGGTCATGATCTCACGGTCTGTGGGTTCGAGCCCTGCATCGGGCTCTGTGCTGACAGCTCAGAGCCTGGAGCCTGCTTTGGATTCTGTGTCTCCCTGTCTCTCTCTCTGCCCCTCCCTCACTTGTACTCTCTCTCTCTCTCTCTTAAAAATAAATAAACGTTAAAA